TTTTTTTTTTTTTTTTTTTTTTTTTTTTTTTTTTTTTTTATTTTTATTTTTTTTTATCACATTAACTTTACTGGCATTTGTTTCTCTCTGCTTTCTGTATGGCATAACTAATGTGAAGGGGATCCTCTCTTCTCTGTTATGACCCACCTCTTCTGAATAAATTCTCATGCTGTCTCCTGACTGTGATGAGCTCTGTGGATGACATGTGAGTGCCAACAGCCCTACACAGACACCTTTGGACTTCCTGAAGGAGCACGTTGCTCTTTCATAAGTGAACTTGAACAGGGAAGCAGATACTTCGTGTACCAAAAGGTGCAAGACGAGAAGGCAACACAGCAAGAAAGCCAGTTGACCTGGTGATCGCATACAGTTAAAGTACTTGAAGGTTGCCAACACCATTTCCTTTCAGCCACAGAACTAATTCCATCTTTCTGGCGTTATTTTGTCTGTTCCCTCCCTAGTCTGCAGGAAATTGTTGCCCTTTTAGGATAACTGTGGCAGATTTAGAAGACTCTTTGGATTATTAAATGCCTTACACTTGCAGGAAAGGAAGAAAGCTAATTTTCAAGTGTTTAGAATAGCAGAATCATGTTCTTTGTGTGTGTTTGTCTTGGTAAATGACTTGATAGAGCAATGCCTGCTAAACAGTGTTCACGTGAAAAAATTGACATGATTGCCCAGATTACTATAAAGACTCATATTGATGGGATGTGTAAGTGTACCAGGGTAATTAATTCTATATTCTTAGCATTGCCCTGGTTTAGAGCTTTGTAAGTCTTTTCTCATATTTATACATACGTGTGTGTGTGTGTAAATGCACGCACATATATGTGTAACTTTTTTAAATTGGGAAATATTTATGGTGAGGAGCATGCATGCTGTTATGAACTGTGTGGTGATGAAAGTGGGAGGGACAGAAGGCATTCCAAAAACGGGTAAAGCTAAACCTTTCATAACTACAACTGACATCTTGTGTCCTGGCAGGAATTTTTTTATATTTTTGGATTGTGACTCCCATGGGCTCATCAGATGAATTGCAAACAAAGGAAATATACAAATCAGCTGTGTCTATGACTTCCAAGGAATCTTTTCTTTCCTTGGTTTAAAATAAAATGGTATTTTTTTGGAAACTGACCTGTTTAGACTGCTTCAAAGCCACAGGGAAAAGGGAGGGAGATTGGGGAAGGAGAAATTTAATGGATGTCTCATTTTGGAAGTAATGTGAATGCTGCATCTTTTCAATCTGTCAATGCTTCCATATGGAAAACAAATGCAATAAAACTTTTGCAAAAACTTGTTTGCTGTTCTTTCTTTCTTCACTTCAAATGCTGGGAAAAATCTGTAATGGTTTTCTGAACTTTCACTGCCATTTGCAAGCAGGCAGAAGGATACAAAGCTCCATTAACTAAGTGTTCAACTTTTAAGTTTGAAAGTGAGTTAATTGGTGATACACCAATATGTTAATCAGGGGGTTTATGTCTCCACTTGGGAGAGGTTGTAACTCTGTTTTTAGTATGCAATGGTGTTTCTCAGGGAATGCTCCCAGCTTGATAATGAAGGGCTGGATCTTTGACCGGGGTCAGTTCAGCCAGTGAGGCAGATGCAGCTGGTAACTTGAACTGGTAGAGAATCCGGCCCAAAGCTGTCTTAATGCAAAATCAGATATATTGAGGGGAGAGGCTTTAGTGACTTAGGCAATTAACTAATGAATGCATCTCTCTGTTCAGTTCATTGCTTTAAAAATTGTTTCGATTATGAATTCTGCATTCCTGTTTGGGTTTATTTTAATTAACCTTGTTGGTTATGCATCTTGGAGGAAGATTGGATACTCTGTTCTGGCATTTTGACCACTGTGGAAAACTGTAGGAAAACTGCATTTATGCAGATTGTTTAACAGCATTATGCAGTATTGATGTCTTCAGTCAAACTGTTTTTTTTTAATGAGGCATCATAGAAATGCCATTGGTACCTGTGGCAGGTGTGTGTGGCAGTAACTGAGGGCCCTCATTTTACTTGTGCTGTGCAACTTGGTGGTGCAATTTGATGCAATTTGAATGATACTAAATGTGAGTCCGTATTAATACGAGAAAGACAAACTGGTTTGCTTCTGGAAAGTATTTTCTCAGGCGGGACAACGCATTTTGAGATGCTGGTGGTTCTGTTTTAGCTTGGCTAAGAGAAATTGAAGTCTAATTCAAATCAGAGTCCTTCAGTACTGGAAAGCTAAGTGGTATTCCCAAGCAGAAATAAGTGCAAGGAAGTGGTGTAGGAAAAGTCTGCCTTAATCATGATTTCCAATGGCAATGCTTTCAGTGTCTTAACCATCAACTTGTCACAATGCTTGTCTTTTCATTTCACTCTTTTTCCTTTCATATTTTGAAAGTGCATGAAAAGAAATTAATGCATTGCTTCTAACATGCAAGAGCTGCCCTGCAGATTGTTTCTGGGTCAGGCCACGCAGCCCACCATCCTTCTCTGGCACTGGGCAGGAGCAGATAACTGAGGGCAATAGTGGGGGAAAGAGGGTATATCCTCCAGCATCATAGTGGCCACAAGTCAACCTTATCTTACTGTCCTCGTGTTTGCCATGATGTACCTCTTTCTAAAGTGAGAATGTCCAGTATTTTATATTTCTTGGTTTATGTCTTCTCTTTGCAGTATTGGTTCAAAATCATGTAACTTGGAATAGTGAAAGATCATGATGCATCACGGGAAAAAGAAACAAGTGTTGGTTTAACTTGATATAAAAAATTCCCACTTTCTAAAATAATGGTGAGAGATTTTATGTAAATATGTATTTTAAAAAAGCCCACAAAACTTTCATTAAAGAGAAACAAAACGTCTTCAACAGCTGTGCTTTCCTTCCCTCCTCCTAAATTCTTTTTAAGGCATAACCTCACACCCTACTGACCATGTGGCTGGCAGCCAAATTAGATCAAGATACAATTACAAAACCTGTGCTTATTTTGAATACGTGCTGTGAAGGATTAGTGAGGTCAGGCTGAGACAGAGAAAGTGTGGCCCTCCCTGCTCTAAAGAGCTGCTCCCTAATTGGCATTAGCACAGCCCCAGCCTGACCTTGCTTATCTCCTTGGTTAGCAGATGCTGCTCGGAGCAGGTGAGCGATGGTTTTTTTTTTTTTGGAGGAAAGGAGGGGTTGGCACCCCGGATGTGTTCCAAATCTGTATTCCCAATCTAGATAGCAGCAGGGATCAAAACAGATTAAGCACGTGATTGAGGGCTGGGTTAAAGCTTGTGCTGCCAGGGAAGGGTTTAAATGCTTGGTGTCTGTCTCTCCTCCTGCTCTGTGCTACTTGTTTTCCTCCTCTCTAGATCCTCACACAGTAAGTGCTGCAGCCGCGGTGCCAGTTTGTTACTAAATGCATGGGAAATTTCTGCAGTTCACTAAGGAACAGCCGACAACCAAAGGTGGTCTTCTGCTTTCATCTGCTAAAGGCTCTGCCTCCCGGTTGCACAGCCACTGGGTGCTGGAAATGGAGTATCCTGGAGGAAGAGCAAGTGGTAGTAGTGCTAAAACGCTCTGCAGGGCACGAGCACTGCTCCTCTCCCAGCTTGCCCAGCAGGGAGGTAAGGTCGGGCCCTGGCTGCAGCAGCACCAAGTGTGGTATCCCAAGGGACCAGAGGCTGCAAGGGATTTTCCCTGGAGCACTTGAAACGGTACATTTGCAAGCTTGGGAGCAGAGCAAGGGGATGCAGGACTGTGCTTAGCATTCAGAGTCCTTCAGGGCTTGGCTTTTTCCTGAAATTGCAACCCTGAAGAATTCCTAGTTGATGTTGTGTCATTCCTTTCTTCGCATTCACTGCTGGGTTTCTCCTAAGTCAGCACAGAGAAACGGGGCATGAATGAAGCTCAAAAAAAGCTTCGCACGTAGTGCTTCAGTTTATGGTGTGTTTTCTCCTGGGTCTGCTCGTGCTGACTCAGTGTTGTTGCAAAACTGGGCTGCTGCTATGGTGTTATTTGTAAGGCTGATTGTGAGTGCAGCTGTGCTGCTTGAGCTCCTGCGTGTATTTGTGTCCCCCCCGCTGCGAAGCTTTGAATGTGGTGCGTCGTTAAGAAAAATCTGTAGGATTAGAACGTGACAAGTGTGTAGTTCGTCCAGCTCCTCTAATACCGTTCTTTCATACAGTTTTAACTGAATTTGCTCGTTTTTTTCCCTTTCCTTGAGTTTCTCAAAACTGGGATCCAGTGTTCTCTCTTCTCTAAGAACAGGCTTTCTGTGGTCACTTGTGTGTCACCGTGAGTGTATCCTACACAGCTGCAGATCTGACTCCTCTCTTACGTGATACAGAAGATGGGCATAAAAAATTGTGCCCTATTTCACACAGCAGTAGCCTTAAAGAAAATACATTAAGAAACTACATTTTAATTCTTTATTTCTACATGGAAAAGACTACCAAGAAAAAAATGTTGCTGCCCAGATTTGGTGTATCTGTTCTTTAAGTACAATCAAAATGTTTGCTTTACTAAAAGCAATGTTCTTGGAGGGAGAATGAATCAGAATATTGATTGACTAAGGTTCTGGTCCTGTTTTGAAGCTTCCACTTCCACCTGCACAGAATTCCTCACCTCCCAGCGAGCTATCTGGCTTGTGTTGTGATTTGTTTTTGATAATTTGGTAAATGGAAATTGTGTTCTTAAATACTTGCACAAAAAACTGGCATAGAGCGAGCTCCTAGCTGTGGCACTGGTAAATTCTGATTCCTGGCAAAAGGTGCAGTATTCTGCCTGTATCTAAACTATTGCAAAAATGCCTACATAAGGTGAAACTAATAAGTTCTAACTGTGTTTTGTCACTCCTTGGAGGGATTCAAAAAGCCATGTGAGAAGAGGTCCATATTTCCTGAAAGGCTGGCTTTTCAGGAGCTATCTCTATACCATGAAAATCAATAGCAACTGATGCCAAAATACATCCAAAAGATTCAGATCGTCCACGAATTTGATCTTGTTTAGGGTTTTGTTAAATTCAGAGACGAAACTCTCACTAATGGAGGATGTCTGTCTTCACTGTTAACTTGAACTCGAATAGCATCAGTGTGGCTATGGATAGGCAGTTCTGCCCGTGCTACAGTGCCCAAATACCTGCTATAAATGTGAGGCAACCCTGAACTCTTTCTCTTCTTGCAGGGTATTGAGCGACTTAAGAATCAGAAGCCAACCTGGGAGAAGATCAGTGGCTGGGAAGGAATGAAGCTGGCATTCGGCGGTGCCTTCTCTTTGGGTTGGTTCAACCCTTTTTCAAACCTGAACTGCGAGAGGCCAGCGCCGGCTGAAGCGGCGGCAGCAGCTCCTGCGTCTGAAATACTGACCCAAGAAGAAATCGAGCAGTTTCTCGCTCGAGACGTTGCCATCCAGATACATGAATAAGCAAAGCATCCTCCGCAATACCGGAAGAAGCTTTCAGGTGTTTTCTTCTTAGTAACTTCTCGTGCTGGAGATTTAAAGGCGTTGTTTTTTAACATACTTTTGGTGCATTAAAAAAATTCAGGACTATTTGTCTGGAAGCTGGGCACAGCGCTAGCAGAAGCAATGCAAATCTCCAGAGAGAGCTTTATGAGTGAGGGGATTCATAAGCTCCTTTTCAGACCCGTTCCAGCTGCTTTATTGGGCTTTTCTTACACGGCCTATAAGGACAGTTTATAATTGTCAGATAGATTGGTTCCAGTTCCCAGAAAATGTGGAAGTCTGGTTAACTAGGGTGTCTGGTTAACCTTTTGTTCTTACAGCCTTTTGGAGGACTAAATGTGTGATGGCAAGATCGGCCCAGCTCTGTAAGTTTTTGTGAAAAACGCATCCTCTTTAGCCCATCTCATCGTATGGATGCTGCATACGGGTTATGGAAGTTGCTGGTGTGCAGGTCTTAGCAGAGGTGGGATACAGGGCTATGGATGCAGCAGATGGATGAGCTCTCCCTGGGTGTAATTCCTTTGGGCTCTGAAATATCTCCCTCCGGGGGTAAATTGTGCTTGTGGGACTGCCCAAGACTGGTGGTGCCTGTCAGAGCTGGTGGGCTTGTGGTGGTGCCAGGCTGGCAGGACCATTCACCTGTGGTGAGTGCAGCCAAGAACAGGCAAATGTTGCCCCAGCCATTGAACTTCTGCCCCGGTTTGTTTGCACATAAGATGTGTGGAGCAGGAGCTGCCTGGCCAACCCCTGCAGCCCAGAAAGCAGGCAAATTGTCTAGGCCGGTACCAGGGCTATTTCTGCAGTTAGAGAGAGAGAGAGAGAGAGAGAGGAACACCCTGCTGATGGAGGTACTGCCCTCTCTCCATTTGACTTGTCTAATTTAGATGTCTGGGTTTTTTCTTTTCTTGATAGCTAGAGTTAGTTGAGAATGAATAGTGCCTCTTAATCTTACTGGGGTTTAACGTTGTCCTAACAGTACGTGCCATTGCACAGGGTTTCCTTTCTCTAATTTTGCAGCCAGCTCCTGGTGAATGTTGCAGAAGGAACATGCATCTCTCAAAGAAGGCATCACTGCAGGTGGCAGTAGCTGCAGCAAAGTCATGCAGAGGTGTTGCTAGGCCCTGCATTCAGATGCACTACAAACACTTGGCATCCTCCAGATGTCGGGGTAGTTTTAATTTAGACTGTTTTTCACGTGTTTGGGGGTTTTTCCCCCTCTCTCATATGCCTTAGCTTAAATGTCACTAGGGACATGTTCCTGGCTTCCCCACCACAGAATATGCTTGATTTTATCTCCTCCTCCCCTGTAACATGGACCAAAGATAATTGCTTCCTTTCAAAAGTAAGAGAAAGGAGGTTTTGGGATGAAAGCATGGTATTGTGAAAGACCTGTATGAAATTTTATTATTTATAGGAGTGATACCAAATGGAATTTATGCAGGATTTTTTAAAAATTTTTTTACCCCCAAAAAGCATCTTAGGATGTATTAATGGTGTGACATTCAGGGCTACCATGGAGGGATGAGATTCTCTCCTGGACTTGTCCTCTGCCTGTTTCTGGCAAAGGTACTGGATACAAATGGAGTGCCTTGACTGTTTAGGAACACAGCTTGTTCTTGCTAAAATCCAGGGCATATTTACAGACAATTGTCCCATTCCCTCTTCTGTCTGGATGTCTGTCCTCTTTGTCAGTGAAAAATAGATCTAGAAAAAGTCATTAGGAACTATGTATTTATAACCTTTTTGGGTAAAGGGAAGCACCCTGCATTTGAGAGGCAATGAGGTACCCTCTCATGCCATTTAGACATCAGGTCTTGAGTGTCTTTGCCCTGTGCAGCAGTGGGATACTGAGGGGAAAAAGCTCTCCTACTTGTGCATCAGCCCACATTCCTCTCTGTCAGCATCCCACAGGAAAGGGGCGTCAGGGACATACACCTCTAAGGGATTTCCTGTAGGGAGTAATGGGCATGTTGAAGGAGGAATAATAAGAGTGCCCTTTTTAGCTCATGTTTTCTAATTTTAGCTTACTGCTCCGCCTCTGCATCCAGTTAACATCCCTGCCTCTGGTGCTGTGTCTGCAGTGGGAATGGTGCCACAGGGAGAAACTAGTTAATGGCTGAAAATCACCTTGAGGTGATATGGGGAAATCAGCTTGGGAGAGACCCCCCTGTGCTGCATTTCTCAGGACACAGACACCACCAACATGGCTTTGGGTAGGCATGGATGCAGGCAGCATATTTTCTTCCCAGCTCTCAGACCTGGTTCACCTCATCATGAGAACCAGAGTCCTTTGCTTCTGTTTCCCACCTCTCTTATTGTTCCTCAGGTACTGGCATTTCTGAGTTTGGGGGTTTTTTTAATAGGTGAAACAGAAAAAGCAGTGTGAAGGGGAGGGTGAGAGCCAGAACAGCCGTCTCCCCTCCTCAGATTAGAGTTTGAGCAAGAGACAGGCACATGTCCCTGTGCCTTATGCAGAGCATGAACAGCCAGCCCAGCCCCAGCTCTGGTGCCTCCAGGACCTGGTGGGGTGATTTCTTATGTCCTGAAAATCAGTTCTGGTGTTTCTTGGCTATCAGACCCCCTTGTCCTCCTCTTCCTTCTCCCCTCCCAAAGTCCCAGTACCCCTTGGTGTATCTCGTCTGTCTCAGTGTAGTGACAGTGACAACTGTCAGAAATCACTCAAGTCTTCAGAAGTCGGAAAAAATCTGTTTTATCCACAGCTTTAGTATAAACCTCCTTCTTTAATGATTATGTGGTAGCAGGAGACCAACCATGATTTTCATAAAATTGAAACCAAACCCTCCATTTTTCTTTCCTCCCCTCCATACACTTCTTGCCCCTTGTTAAATTATGCCTTCATCTTCAAACCATGCTGCTATAGTCCCATCTGGGTCTGGCTGGACCTTGCCAGGTCCCAGGGAAGGCACTCCTGGAAATCATGCTTGTGGTGGGGGGCTGGGGAGGATGCTGCCTCTGTACTGCTCAGGGTGGGACATGGTCTGCTGATGATCCCATCACCTGCTCTGATGTGAGGTGTTAATATGTGACAGACAGGGCCGTGGCAAACGTGGAAAGTGTTCTTGTACTTCTTACCTGGTGTCTTCTACAGCAGGTTTTCTATGCAAGTAAAGAATTTACATCTCTTAAAAGTATTTTTTGCTGTTTGTAACTCCTTTTCGTGTCTTCAGCTGCTATTGTACTTACTAAAGAACTAATACTTCATCTGCCAAGGACCACCACTGCTCCTCCCTACCCTGTGGACATGATGCACATGGACCCTGCACCCACTCTGGCTGCAGAGAGGAGCTCCCACTCCCTGCTGTGCCGCCACAGGAGGTGGCTTCTTGGGGCACTGGAACATCGTGGGCAGAGGGGCAGGCTGACCCCCTTCTGTGACCCAGCAGCCACCTCTGAAACACAAGAGAGGGGTTAAAGCCTTCTTTTTTGCCCTTTTTTGTCCTTTGGGTTTTTTTCCTCCTCCCTTTTTATGGGGTGGCACGTAATCAGATGTAGTCACCATTTCTTTTTCCCACTCTATGGCCTTAGTGCTTGAGCATTTGTCTTTTAAATAAACAAATAAATAACCCCCTATGTTGCTGTGTGAGTTTATTTTCTCTTTACTCATGGAAATACGTATTGGAAACCCCAGTGTCAGACTGCTGCTGGCCATGCTGTGGCGATGCTGTGGGGCAGAGCAATCCCTTGCTAAAGGTGGGCTCGGGAGCTGCTGGAATGTGCAGTGCAGTGCAGTGGTGGGCTCCAGCTGGGCACAGCTGTTGTCTTCTATGTGACTGTGGCTGGCAGAGCTCCTGATGTACAGTGCCATCAAGGCTCTACCTGTAATCCAGCAGCATTCAGGGTGGAAGGGGAAGAGTAGGGGTTGCACATTTCCAGGGAAGCACTTGTAATGCAGCTGGAGATGGCACTTCTTCCAAAAAATGCTTGAAAATCCCCAGAAGAGGTGGCATAGGAAGAAATGTGTGGGAAATGGTGTTTGGGGAGACTGTGCCAGGTTTGCTCTTTCTGTGCCGTAAAGACAAGAAAAGGTGCATGCCACTACATTCTCCAGATGGTTAGCTGGCAGGGAGAGGGAATCATCCAAGAGGGATTTGCTTGAAATGTTCCTTGAGCTGCTCAGGAGCCTGGGGTGCAGTGAGGTCCCTGGGAGGTCCCGTGGAGGACCGCAGCTCTGCTGGCCCTTGCCCCAGGGTCACACCCATCGCTGTCTGAAGCTGGCACCATCACAAGCTCTGATCCTTAGCAGGGGGTGGGCTTGGAGCCATCCCAGTGCAGCGATATCACACAACCCAGTCACGCAGTCAATTTTAACAATCTTTATTGAATCACAATTATCTGCAATCAATGCAACTGTGCCCTTTTAAGTCAGGCTAATTCCTTAGCTTAATGATATTTCTGCTCTTTACTTTGAAAGTACTATCCAGCAATCAAGGAGGCAAGAAGTGCCTGAGACACCCAGCGATGCGACGTGTTTAAGCAAGGCCACTGTTGGCACCCCACCGAGGCACCGATCCTACTCGATGATGGTGATGCCCTTCTCTGTAGAGATCCCTTTGATCTGGTTTGAGGTCAGCTTGGCTACTATTTTCTTCTCTCCTAGTCTTGTCGGAGTGCATATTACTTCAGACTTCATGATCCTGCCAGGCATTATATCCCTAAGGACAAGGAGAAAACAAATAATCTCAGCATGAGTAAGGGTTCTTATTTGCTGCTTTTGAATAATTTCACTTAAAGAAATAGGCGGGGTGTGTGTTTACTGGGGGTGTTTCCCTTCTGTCATGACCACCGTGCAGCAAGTGGGGTGTGGCATGGTGGCACTGGCTGGTGATTCCCTGTTGATCCTGGGGACATTTCCCAGAGTTAGTTCCCCCTACTGCTGAAACATTAAATTCAGCTCTGGAGGAAGCAGCTGTGTTCCCGCTGACCGGGCAGCACATGACATCCCAGCAGGAGTGCAGGGAGAGCCCCTGTCACACCCCAGTGCCCTGAGCATGCCAACCAACCTCTGTGTGGGTCTTTCTGCTGCGTGGACTGTGGCCAAATGTGGTGCAGTTTCAAAGACAGCTGGCAAAGGGCCCTCTTACTCCAAATCCCCTAACCACTTCTCCAAGGGAAATTAAAGAAAGGAAACAAAGCAGAGTCCTGCCATGGTCATTTAAAGGGCTCATCTCCTTACCCCTGATCAAACGTTGTCATCTTAAATATGCCCAAGCCCTCCACCAGCAGCTTGCAGTTTTCCAGGGCCACGTTCAACTTGTTCTTGAAGATGAAGGCACAGGTGAAGTCATCGTTCAGTTTAGCTACTTCTGGCATCTGGCAGAGGAAAGAGAGAAACAAACCCAAAGACCGGGGATCAGAGGGGTAATAAAGGTGCCAGAGCTGCTGCAGGTTTGCTCCTCACCACCAGCATGGCATGGGACAACTCCTTCCACTCTCCCATCCTTTCCACTCTCCCATGGTACTATGTTTTCCCAGCTGATTTCTCTCTGATTTCTCAACATGTTTTTCCTTCAGAAAATGGGATTGGAGATGGGCTCTGTACAAACTATCCTCTTCCATCTCCTTCCCTTCAGCAGCCCCTCCCTTCCCATTTTAGATGGGGCAATAAAATTTTCATTTCATGGCTGCTTTCAACCTTCAAATCAGGGTTGAATAGCCAAATAAAATGCCAAGGACTGAACATCGCAGGAGGCAGGAGGCTGTTCGGGATATCCTCCCGTGAATGCCACACTGAGCAGGGCTCAGTCCCCCAGGAGCCTGGCTGGCTCCTGCCTCACCTCGACAGTGATGGGGGGGTACTCAAATCTCATCGACGTCTCCTTGGTGAGTTTGTCATTTGTTTCCTTGACCTCAGCAATGGCAGTGACAAGGATGAGCACTTCATCGTCCACCGAGGCCAATGTCTTCATATACGCATCAGGTGCTATTTTCAGAGGGATCTGCATTTCTGCAGGAAAGAAAACATGACTTGATGCTTCATCACGTGCTTAGGAATTGGGTGGCAAAGGCAGCTCTGGTGGCTGGTGTCCCAGGGTGTGGGAGGAGCTGTATTTCCTGAGACCATCCTGCTTTCCCTTCAGGGTGTAGCCCCTGCTGGGGGAAGCCCTGGCTGGGTGGGCAGTACCTGGCATATGCAGCCCATGGGAGGGGTGGCTGAGTCTGTACCACCTCTCTGCCCAGATGAGCACTGGCTCAGACTCACATCCAGCATCTCAGCAGCCCTTATCCCCAGCTGCCCCAGCACTCAGGAGGAGCAAGAGGTTAGGTACATCTAAACCTGTGTCCCCTGGGGTTTCTCTGAGGCACTGCTTGCTATGAAATTGCTAGCTTTCATTTCAAATTTTATCCTTAATTGCCTCAACAAGCTTCCAGTTGCTCAGAAAAGCCCTGAAGTCAGCAGTGCTGGTGTCTGAGCATTGCTGCAGCTGCAAAGCTTCCTGGC